TACATACATACATACATACATACATACATACATACATACATACATACATACATACATACATACATACATACATACATACATACATACATACATACATACATACATACATACATACATACATACATACATACATACATACATACATACATACATACATACATACATACATACATACATACATACATACATACATACATACATACATACATACATACATACATACATACATACATACATACATACATACATACATACATACATACATACATACAAATATACAAACATTGGTACATCAAATCGTTTGAAAAATATGATAAATAGTAATAATATCAATAATAATAATAATAATACAAAAAATTATAATAATATCATAATATTAATGATAATATTGATGTTTAACAAATAAGAAAAAGGAATGAAGAGATGAACAAAACACTGTTTCTGAGTCAATTGCGTTGGATAACAAAGTGTACATATACGTATGTATTTATTGGTGGTCTGTATATGTATATATATGTATGTGTGTATATGTGTACGTATGTGTGTATATGTGTACGGATACGTATGTGTGTATATGTGTACGGATACGTATGTGTGTACACGTGTACGTGTTTGGCCATCAAAAAATAAAAAGAAACAGCAAAAACATGAAATGAAATTAAATAAAATCTGTGCCAAACTTCTGAAATTTTAAAGTTCATTAAGAGCGAAAGTTTAACCGTTCTGAAAGCCACAAGGAACGAAACTGAAACAGAACAACAATTAAACAAAAACAGAAGTAAGATGAGCTGATTCCAATCTATGTTAAAAAACTTATTTAGAATAATGGGAAATAATAATGATGATAATAATCTGTATAAAAATTATCACATAGAATTGATTACAAAAATGAAATGTATACATACATACATATAAACATACATGTGTTTGTGTGTGTTTATTTTTGTGTGTTTGTGTGTGTGTGTGTGTGTACCCGGCAAGTTATTCAGATGACTTTAGGAGTTATTCAGTATTTTCAGGTCAGATGCTCGTATTGTCTTCTCGGCATTCATCGTATCAACTATTATTTATTTATTTACTTATTTGAAACTTCAAAAATATACTGTGGTTATGTGCGCATGTGCGTGCACACTCCAGTTCATATTATTGTGCAAATAATAATTGTAGCTACGTATATATTCTGATGGATGATTTAACAGATGGATGGCTGGATGAAGGAATGAATTGACAGATAGATTGATGGATGGATTGCTTGATGAATGAATGAACTGATGAATGGATGGATGGGTGGATGGATGAGTAGATGAGTGGGCGGATGAGCGATTGAGTGGCATATTTGAGAGAACGTCTAAGTGGATCTGTTGGATGAATATGCAACTATGCAAGTAGTTAACTCGTGGAGGAATGATGAAAAAATAAAAGAATGAATGAATTGATGAAAGAAAAAAGAGAAAACATTAGAAGAAAAGGCAAAAAAAGAGGAAGAAATAGAGAGAGAAAGAGAGAGAGAGGGAGAAAGAGAGAAAGTGAGAACTACTTGTGAAGAGAAGCAAAAAATTATTTAACTAAATATTTACTGCTGTCTACAGAAGAGCTTATATTGGGTTGTTCGTTCTTCATTTATTCATAATAATAATAATAATAATAATAATAATAATAATAATAATATAATTTGAAACAGCGAACATCAGAATCTCTAACCAGCCACACATTCATAGCTCTTTTTATTTTTTTTAATGTTACTAGATGTACAATACCATCACCGAACAACGTTATTATTGTTATTATTACTATTATTATTATTTTTGTTGTTTAAACTTACATGTAATTTTTAAAACAGAAAAATAAAATTGCTGAACTGCATTCTGAACATTCGATCCATCGAATCCGTCGGTATTTCGGTATTTTCACGTTCGGTATTCGGTATTTTTGTGTATCGTTCAACACGCACACACACACACATACACGCATACACACACACATTCATACTTGCTTGTTTTAGATATTTAGTTTGGGCTGTCATTATTATTTCGCCAGGCTAGAAAATTAATAATTCTCTCCATCTCTTTTTCCATCATTCTCATATTATTTTAATTATTTTTCTCTTTCTCTCTCTCTCTCTCTTTCTTTCTTTCTCTCCCTCTCTTTCTCTCCGTGTATATCACTATCCATGTTTTTTGTCTCTTATTTTAATTCATTATCTCAACAATTTACGCGGTGGTTCCAGCCATTATCAAGCGCCGAATTCTTTCTGCGTTACTACAGACGTACGAACATCATGCATGTGCGTGTGTGCGTGTGTGCATGTGTATGTGTGTGCGTGTGTGCGTGTGCATGTGTGTGCGTGTGTGTGTGTGCATGTGTATGTGTGTGCGTGTGTGTCTGTATGTGTCGGTTCTTGTTTGTTTGCAGTTCTAGCTGAGCAGAGATTAGCGTTGAAATTTGTCTGTAGTGAAAATATTTATGTGGGAAACGAAAGGAGGAAAAAGTAAGATTGATCTTTTGTTCATTCATTTATTCATTCATTCGTTCGTTCGTTCGCTCGCTTTCTCACTCACTCACTCACTCACTCACTCACTCACTCACTCGCTCACTCACTCGCTCACTCACTCACTCACTCACTCACTCACTCACTCACTCACTCATTCATTCATTCATTCATTATTTTTATTCTTTCTTTTTTTAATCTATCTTTATTCTTTTCGTTTGTTCTTTCCAGTTATAGAAATAACTGAGTGACTGAAACTTGAAAGGGATGAATGAATTCATTGAAAACGTCTGATGAATGAATGAGAAATGAACGAACGAACGAATGAACGGATGAACGGATGAAACCGGAGATACACCACATACCTACCCATGTAAATGAATCACTGAATAGAAATAAGTTAACAGAAAATGAGTTGAAAAAGTGAACGCATGACTGTAAGAACAAGAGGATTAAGTAAACGTTTTGCCAGCCAGACAAAAAAGTATGCACGAAAGTGTGTGTGTGTGTGTAAGTGTGTGTTTGTATGTGCGTGTATATACGTGTGTATGTGTGCTTACAAAAAATCTTTTTCAGGCACGAAACTTCAAAACAGTGGATTAGTGAATCAATCCTCTCAATTAATATTTAATTCTGTGTCATCATTTCAAACTATCATTCATTAATTCATCCATTCGTTTAACGATTTAACTATTCGTTCGTTCGTTCGTTCGTTCTTTCGTTCGTTCATTCATTGCTAATTTTTTTACTCTTTGCCAATTATAAATTAACATTCATGGAATGTATTGGCATTTGATGTTAGACGTATGCTAGAAACTGATAAGATAACATTAAGACAAAGGTTCGTTAAGAAACCCGTTTTTGTTGTTGTTAATGTTGTTGCTGTTGTCGTTGTTGTTGTTAATGTTGTTGTTGTTGATAATGTTGTTGTTGATGTGTATGTCGCTATTAAACCAAAATATACTTGTGAACAAATATTTCTACCAAAACATATACACAGGAAATGAACATGAACACTTCAGACATGTACAAACAAACATACACACACGTATGCGAACAAACACATAAACACACACACGCAGACACTTACAAACATGCACACGCGCACACACAAAAACAAGTGCATTTATATTGTCTGGGAGGTTTCCTTCTCTCTTTACTACTGTTGAATACAAATCATTCCAAAAACAATTCATCAACATGTACCCTCCATACTTACACATACATACGCATACACACACACACACACACGCAGGCACACACACACACACACACACACGCAGGCACACACGCACACACACACATATTTAAATATACACAGACATGTATTTTGTACTTCAGATTTTTTGTTTGATGTGTTCATCATATATGTCTCCGAATACGATCATGGATTGTTTGTGGTTCATACTGTATCATGTTCTTAATAATAAGGATGATGTTGTTGTTGCTGTTGATTGTGATGATGGTGATGATGTTGTTGCTGTTGATTGTGATGATGGTGATGATGTTGTTGTTGTAGTTGTAGTAGTTGTTGTTGCTGATTGTGATGATGGTGATGATGTTGTTGTTGTTTCTGCTGTTGATTGTGATGATGGTGATGTTGTTGTTGTTGTTGATTGTGATGATGGTGATGATGTTGTTGTTGTTGTTGGAATGATGGTGATGATGTTGCTGTTGTTGTTGGGATGATGATGATGTTGTTGTTGATGTTGTTGTTGTTGATGATGGTGATTGTCAGTGCATGCAAACACTGACTCATTAACAATATTGCCAGCCTAGTGACTGATTTTAATTAATATTTTTTACAACACGGCAACCACTACCACAACCACCACCTACCTCAACACTCTAGTAAGAGTTTTGCTGGCATTATAACAGCACAAACAACAACTAAAACATTAATAATAGTTGCAATAATAATAATAATATAATAATTGTTATAATAATTGTTATTATTTCCAGGATCCATGTTGAAATATATTCGAGCAGAGAAGTCTTGTTGACTCTGAGTGGAGTCGAGAGGAAGGATGCTGGCGTGTATTCGTGCGTGTATAATGGTGATTCTGCTAAAAAGGTCTTTGGTAGTGCTACTGTTACTGTTAATGGTTGGTTGATTGGTTGGTTGGCTGTTTAGTTGGTTGGATGATTGGTTGGTTGGCTGTTTAGTTGGTTGGTTGATTGGTTGGTTGGCTGGCTGATCGGTTGGCTAGTTGGATGATTGGTTGGCTGTTTAGTTGGTTGGTTGGATGATTGGTTGGTTGGTTGATTGGTTTCATACATCATTAAATTTTGAGCAAATTGCAAATTTTTAGCAGTTTTTTCATAATCATCGTAATAATTTTTAAAGATTTTAAATAATTAAAAATGTAATCGTTATATTAATATATATTCAACCAATCAAAGTAAATCTAAGCCATTTTAAATTGCAAGAGCCAATCAGATTCGAGAACGTGGTTGAGGAGCATCACCCATTGGATGGCCTGCCCTACGTCATCGGCTGCACTGTTGTCGCTACACCAAAAGCTCTTGTGTCCTGGAGATTTAAATCTCTTTTTATTAAGAAAAGTTGGAATGAGTGAATGAATGCATGAATGAATGAATAGATGGATGGTGAACAAATGGGTAAATGAATAAATGAATGATTGAAAGAATGTAAAACAAATTAATAAACGAATGAACAAAATCGCTAATAAAAAACCCATTAAATTCTAGCGATAAGATTGTGTTTCAAATTGTAAATAATTATTATTGTATTGCACTTTGGAGTTTGTGCTTCTTTGAATATATGTATGTATGTGTGTGTATGTATGTGTGTATGTATGTATGTATGTATATATGCATGAATGTTTGTACGCGAGTTCGTTTGTATATATGTATGTCTGTGTGTGGTTAAGCCATTAAGCAGGTTTTTTGAAAATCAGCATCATCATCTTCAACACCACCACCACCATCATCATCATCACCACCAACATCAGAGTCGGACTTGGGGTTCAAAAAGTTGTCGTCAGGTTTGGAGATTGCGAACGTGAGCGCGGTTCACAACGGCCTGTACGAATGCGTGGGTCACGTGCGCAAGACTGGGGAGATACGATCGAGGGCCATCCTGCTCGATGTTGATTGTTGGTGGTGGTGGTTGTGGTGGCGATGTTGTGGTAGCTGTAGTGGCGATGATGATGATTTTGTGGCTGGGGTAAAAACTGACAAAAACTGAAATCGCTGAGAATTGTGATGCCAATAAAGCGAAAGCTTTTTAATGTTTTTATAATTTTTTCCATCATTTCTTACATCATCATCGTCACCATCATCATCATCATCGTCATCATCATCATAATTAGACAGGCCAAAGATCACAAGTCAAACGAGCGATCGTGAGGTCAACTTCAACGATAACGTCACTTTTAATTGTGATGCGTCCGCCAAGCCCATGCCTACGTATCAGTTCTATAAGGTCGGCTGGTCGGTTGGCTGGTTGGTCGGTCGGTTGGCTGGTTGGTCGGTCGGTTGGCTGGTTGGTCGGTCGGTTGGCTGGTTGGTCGGTCGGTTGGCTGGTTGGTCGGTCGGTTGGCTGGTTGGTCGGTCGGTTGGCTGGTTGGTCGGTCGGTTGGCTGGTTGGGCGGTCGGTTGGCTGGTTGGTCGGTCGGTTGGCTGGTTGGTCGGTCGGTTGGCTGGTTGGTCGGTCGGTTGGCTGGTTGGGCGGTCGGTTGGCTGGTTGGTCGGTCGGTTGGCTGATTGATTGTTTGGTTGATCGGTTGGTTGACCTGTGCATGTTGACAGGAAGGCAGTGCAGACGAACTGACCAACAGCGTGCGAGTGACCATCAGCGAGAACTCCATAACCATCAGAAATATTTCAGTGGCAGATGTCGGCAGGTACTTCTGCGTGGCCAGCAACAAACATGGGTCTGCTAGGGCGGTCATCTCCGTCAAGATCAGAGGTCAGGTTATAATTTGTAATTGTTGTTGTAATTATTAATTGCTTTTGTTATTATTATTGATGGTATAATATTATCATTGTTGACCTGGCAAACAGTGGACGCAGCGATTAGAGAAATAAGAGCTGAAGGATTCATCATCGGACACGATGGTACGTAGTTGCTATTATTTCTCATCAACATCTTCGTTGTCGTCATCATCGCCGTCGTCAACATCATCATCATCATCATCATCATAACTCCAGGTGTCATCACGTGCGAGTCAGTCGGATTTGACCTTCCGGAGATGACCTTGTATAAAGTTGAAGAGTCAAATGAACTTAGCAGGATTCCGGCTGTGAGTTTTGATGATAGTAACGATGAAATTACTACGGTTGATTAAAAAAAGTGATTGCGATGAATAACGATCATCATAACCCACTCATTATCATCCTCTAACTTGCTACCACCTATTTTCGTCACCATCGTCATCATCACCATCGTCATCATTGCTATCATCATCATCGTCATCAGGAGGTTACTGACCTTTCATTGACGGAGCGCCAACTTGTATCCAGGTTTAAGAGTGTGAACATGGATAAGGACAACGGTACATACGTCTGCAAGGCTGGCAACAACTGGAATGAAGTTAACAGGACGGTCGAGTCTGATGTTGGAAGTAGGGTGATGATGATGATGGTTGTGATGATGATGATGATGGTTGTGATGATGATGATGATAAAAGCAATGATGAGAACGATGATTGTGAAGATGATGCCACTGCTGATATGAATATAATGATCCAAATTATCACAATAAAAATTATCACCACCACCACTGTCATCATCATCATCATCATCATCATCATCATCATCATCATCATCATCATCATCATCGCCATCAACTCCCCAGTGACTCCAGTCATTCTGACCCTTAAAACGGAGAAGGTCTATAAGCACCCTGGCCAGCCTCTGCTGCTCAACTGTACGGCCATCTCCAGAAAACTTTGCGTCATATCATGGACTAGAAAACTACATAGAGAAGATGATGATGACGTCATTAAGGAAGATGGTGACAGCGATAATGATGTCGAAAAAGTTGGCGATAGTGGTGATGATGATAAATTCTACAGGAAGCCAATTGTAGGCAACTATGGAGTCTGCAGCCGGCTGCTAGTGGTTAGTGGTGATGATGATGATGGTGGTGGTGGTGATGATGATGATGATGATGAGGAAGAAGTTTATTGCTAAAAATAGCTTTTCTAAAAGTAAATCTTACCATAAATAGATTTTCTAAAATTAGCACATTACGCCAGGTTGATGAGGACAGAATTGGAAACTACACGTGCCACGTCAGCAACAATAAAGGATACGAGAATGTTACTTTTGTCCTTTACATCGCAAGTAAGTTCTCGGGATGGCCGTGCTGTTTGTTGATGATGATGTTGTACAAACACACACACGCGCGCACACGCAGAAAAACCATACGACTTGAAAAGCATGGCGATAGCGAACGTCACCGCGACATCAGTGACGTTGGAGTTGGAAGAATCGTATCAAAGAGGTCTGCCCGTTGAAGTCATCATGGTCACTTTGCAGCCGTGTAAGTAGAGAAATATTTACAATCGTGTAACAACAACTGTTGTAACAACTGTACAAGTCATTTTGATTGAGTTTATCTACCTTTGAATTTATATTTTTACGATCGTTTGCGACTGACACTGGAGTTACAAATATATTTTTAAAATAGTTTACCCCATCAGTCTCCTCTCTTTGGATTTTAATAAAATCATTTCATTTTAAAGAAAGTAAAATTTGAATAAAATAAATTTGGGATATGATTTTCATCAGCTGGAGGCGAGCGAGAGGTGCTAAACTACACGAAACTTCCACATGACAATTGTATGTTTCTTTCAATTTAATGTCTTTCTCAACATCATGTTCATAATGTAACGTTTTAATGTAATGGAACAAGCTTGAACACGTACATACATGAAAACATACATGCACGCACACCCATGCAACACACAACACGTACATTCCACACACACACACACACACACAAACACACACACACACACAAACAGTGAAGTACAAGATTACATTGACGAATCTGAGCGACTCGACACCCTACCAAGTGTCAGCACAGCCAGTCAACGCCTTCCATGTTGGACCAATGAAGTTTGTTGAATTCAAAACCAAAGAACTCTGTTAGTAGTAGCTCCGTATTTTCAATTCGCAACGTTAAATTTGACTTTTGAACTCTGAACGACGTCATCTATTTTGTATTGTTTCTAAAAATAGCCCGCCCTGACCCAGTTACGATCCAGCAAATCAAGGCAGCCTGCTTGCCACCAAATGAGGTCACCATCAACTGGCTCGCTCCCTATTCAAGCAATCTGCCAATTATTAAATACACACTCAAATATAGAAAGGTTGTGATGGTGTCGGTGATGATTGTGATGATGGTGTGGAAAATATTTATTTAATGATGGTGATAATGGTTTTTACAGTTTATTTTGATAAGGATGAAGTTCATCGCATTATATCGTTCTAACTTGACGAGACTGACGAGTGAACGAATGCGCTGACGCACACGTGCACAGGTTCTACCAGCAAATTCTACAGCGCCAAATAAATGGATCGAAAAAGAAACCAAAGATACCAAATACCTTCTTTCCGGTTTGGAGGAATCGTACAAGTACGAACTGTTGGTGCATGCAGTCAATAAGATGGGGCGCTCCAATGATAATCCCGCATACTACTTCCACACTTGCAGAGGTTGTCCATGATGATGATGATGATGATGATGTTGTTGTTGATGATGATGTTGTTGATGATGTTGTTGTTGTTGAAACAAACGAAATGCAATTGCCTTGACTCAAATTCAAGTTATGGTGCACGATGATGCCTAGCAGGCTCACACGCTCCTTCGAGATTGTGTGATTCGAAAGTTATAAATTGAAATGATGAAATCACCAAATGTTAATTTTAATGCCATGAAAACGAACATGTGAACAGCAAGTACACATATGAACACAGAGACACACGCACATTTATACACACACACACATACACACGCACAAAAACTTGTGTGTATAATGTTGTTTTGTTGTTGCTTACGACAGTTCCTTACGCTGCGTCGACATCAAAAGCAAGCCGCATCAACAACAACATCAACATCCTCATCAACAACATCATCAACAACTTCAACAACAACTTCAACATCATCAGCTTGTTGTTCATGATGTTGCAACCGATTTTTGTTCTTGCTTTTGCTATGTTTGGCATTCTAGTTTGATGATGATGATGATGATAATGATGATGGTAGGATGATGATGATGGTATGGTGATGATGATAGTATGGTGATGATGATGAAGTTCTTGCGGTTATAATAATATTGGTGCTGTGTCCATAGTAGAGTTGCTAGTTTATTAACAATATTCTTTTCTGGTTGATATTATTATTATTATTAATTATAGTGCAAACAAATTAATAATAATAATAATTATTATTTTATTATCAATTTTGGCTGATAGTATTAAAAATAACTATTTTTATGTTATAGTATGGTCTTACCGTTAAACTCGATCGATGCTAAAGCGTTCTGCTTTTTATACATAATTTGTTTGTTTGAGTTTGTGTGTGTGTGTATGTACGTGTGTGTTTGTGTGTGTGTTTGTGTGTGTTTGTGTGTGTATTATATTGATATATTGATGACAATGCTTGCGAGATAATTATTATTGTTATAAAGAGAAAGATGATGATGGTGTATAATGATGAGGTGACGATGATGATTGTAAGTGCGGTGGGGAAGGCGACGATGAGGATGATGAAAGGTCACTCAAACAACTTACGTCACATCACAATGACTCAACAACAACATCACTAACAACAACAACAACAACAACAACATCAACAAAATCAACAACAACATCAACAACAACATCAACGACATCAACATCACTAACATCAACAACAACATCAACAACAACATCAACAACAACAACATCAACAACAACAACATCAACAACAACAACAACAACATTAACAACAACATCAACAACAACAACAACAACAACAACATCAACAACAACATCAACATCAACAACAACAACATCAACATCAACAACAACAGCAACTACATCGCATGCTTTGTGGCTTATTAATAGGCATAATAACGAACATAAGTATAATAAATAATAATAATAATAATGGAAATATTATTATTATTGTTATTACTGTTATTATTATTCTTGTTATTTTATTCTTTGTTGAAGTTTCGACTAATGACATTAGTTTAGGGGTAGTGTGCCTGAGTGTGATGTTATCCACATCTTACTGCTATTATTATTATTACTATTAATATAATCATTAATATTATTATTATTGTTATTGTTGTTGTTTTTGTTATTTTTGCTTGTTCAATTACTAATGCAGATGATGATGTTGTTGCATATGGAAGACCTTTGCATGGTTAGTACTGGAGATGATGATGGTGATGGTGAATGGATGATGGTGAATGGATGGTGGTAAAGTATTAGCAATCAGAACGATGGACGGGTTTTAGGGGTATTTTATGTCAGCCAATAAATATAACTATCCCTTCACCGTCATCATCATCATTATCACAAAACAACTAAATTTTTATCGCAACAACAGCAACCACAACAACCACAACAGAATCTTCAAACTCCAAAACGAACTACGGGATACTGCTGGGTATTATAATTGGTGTCGTCCTGTTGGTCTGCCTTGTGGTCGACGTCGTCTGCTGCATCTTCGATCGCTGTGGCCTCACGAAAGCCATCTACGAAGCTACCTGCAAGAAAAATAGCAAGCGAACCAAAACTTACAACGTTAACGAAAGGTTTGCGTTATTGTTATTAGCATCATCGTGAAGCTTTCAGTTCAGTAAATAAGCGTGAATTCACGCATCGCACACGTACACACATAGAGACACACACACACACACACGAACACACACGCACACGCACAAGAATGACCTTGCACCTTAAATGTTACCCCATCTGGTCGCACCGTATGAATGTATAAATGGATAAAATGGGTGGGATGGTATATTGATAGTTGTTATAACTCTGAAGTGCCAACTTACTTGATGAGTTTACAATTTTAAATGGTTGTTTTTTTGATTTCGTAACAACAAATAGGCAACGATTGAATGAAGAAAAAGCAACAACTGTGAGTTATTTAACTATTTATTCGGTTACTTTCTTAATTAATTAACTAATTAGCTAATAAATAAATTAATTAATACATATCTATCTAATTATTTATTGAATTTGTTTTTAATTATAGAACATATTATTTACATTCTAGGCGTGAGCTGAATAGGTGAAGAAGATGAAATGAAATAATAACGATGCTCCTTAATAAACCACTAATTTTGTTTTTATTATTTTTTATTTATCATTTTTCTTTGTCTTATTTTTTCTTATTTAAGTCGGTAAATTTATGTATCTGCATGTATGTTTGTGCTTTTAGGTGTGTGTCTGTGCTTCTAGGTGTGTCTGTGTGTGTGTGTGTGTGGTGTGTGTGTGTGGTGTGTGTGTGTGTGTGAGTTTAAAGGAGATAGTGCACAGTGCAAATGTTCTCTTAACTATTGCATTGCACAGCTTCTTCTTCTTTTAATATAAAAATGAACAAATGATGATTAAAATGGAAAAAATTATACGAAGTAAAAATAATAATGAGAAATTTTGAGAAAAAACTTATAAAGGAAAGAAGGAAGGAATGAAAGAAGGAAGGAAGGAATGGAGGGGAAGATGTGAACGCATGGAGTTAATCCGTCATTCAATGTAATTATTTTTTTTATTTGTCTTTCTTCTGCTACTTGGTTTGAGGTATTTTGCTTATTAATGATGTAATATAACACGTACGTACACACACACACACACACACACACGCACACACACACACCAACAAAAAGTTGTACATGTACGTGGGGTTCCACGCAAACAGACACACAAACATATCATGCAATGATCTTTTTTTATTTTTCAAATTTCCTTTTAAAAGCAATAAAACTTAAGAATATTCCAGCATAACTTAGAATTAGTAACACACACACGAACACATACACAACTACATCTGCATAGATACAAGTGTGTATATATATATATACATATTTACAACAAACGTACAAGCAATTAGCACAAAGCAAAAGAATATGACCGAGAATTTTTTGTCTGTAGAAAATTTTTTTATACTAAAAACTACCCACGCTTACTTATTTTTTTATGTACAGTATATATATATATATATATATATATATATATATATATATATATCTATATATATATAACAAATATAGAGAGTAGAGATAGAAGGAAGAGAGAGAGAGAGAGGGACATAAACTACTTTTGAGCAGTTCTAAACGCCGATGTGTTTGAGATTTTTATTTTGCAATCATCATTTTTTTGGTTTATTTTTAATTCTCGCTAAATAAATTACTTGTTTGTTAATATTTATTATTCGATTGTTCCGCGAGTTAAATACTAGTTGATTGTTTTCTAGTTGATTCTGACGTTTAGATGCCTTTTAAATCGACTTTGTGATGTTCTACACATATATATGCATATGTAAGCACATACATACATACAAACATACATACAGACAGACAGACATTCATGCTGACACATGCTTGTTGTTTTCTATAATTGAGTGGTAACATAAAGAACATTCAGCTTGTGAAAAGTTAAATCAAGAAATTTGAATAGATTTCAAAATTATACTAAATAATACTAACAATAATATAATGATAGTATTGGCTTTTCTCCTTTGGTTAAACAGTATTATCAACATCAATCAATAAACAAATTATGCGAGAGCTGATCCTAACAATTAAGATAACAATACTGACGATCATTCTTATTCAATTATACTAATATTATAATTAATAATTACTACCGATTACATTCGAATTAATTTATTGTGGTCATAATTTTTTCAGAAAATCACATTTCGCTGACTCATTAGCAACTGTTTGTTTGGTCATATCTTTGCAATGAAAAATGTAATAATTTTGTCAATTTTTGTTACCGCTGTTTTGGAGTTTAATAATTTTTAATGTATGCATGTGTGTGTGTGTGTGTGTGTCTGTGTATATAATGATTAAAACAAATTTTTCAGGAAAAAATTTATTGATTTAAAATAAACTAAGGTTAACGAATAAACAATGAATTACTGAACAACTGCATGTATGTTGTGTGTGTATGTGTTTGTATGACAGTATGTGTGTGTGTTTTTGTGTGTGCGCGTGTGTGTGTAAATTAAAAAAATCTCCAGTCTCTCCGCACATATGCGCACGCAAATGATGTTAGTATCAAACAGTGATGACGTAAGTACTCAAAAAATGTACTTAAGTATAAGTACTAAGTAATAAAAGTACTTAAGTATAAGCACTAAGTACCAAAAACAAATTGCATACTTGGTACTTATAAGTGCTAAGTACAAGTATTAAGTACCTAAGTACATACCATGGTTAATTTGAAATATTTATAAATTTATTAAACTCAGAAATCAACTCATTATTTACAGTAATTTATTTACATCAATAAAAGAGTTTGTTCTTTTTGAGTAAAAGTAAAGTTTCAAATGATTCATCACTTAAACGATTTCTTTTAGGAGTGAAAATCATTCCAGCCTGGCTAAATATACGTTCCACAGGTGCTGATGATGGCACAGTGGTATTGTACTTCAAAAACACTTGTGCGACAGCAGGATACCTAAGGAACAATAATACAGTTGTTAACCGAAATAGCAAATTATTAATTTGTTATTAATACTTGAGAATAAAAATGTATTAGAAAATCAAGCATATACATATTATACATATATAATATATTACTGAAAAATATTGATTACCTTTTGAGTTGTTCCATATCATATGAAGGATCACTAAGATATTGCAGTCCTTCAACTTTTTCATTCGATCGTGATTCGGAACTTGGTTCGTGGAATCCATAAAAATCTGCACTAGTACAACCTCTAGTATTTCTGTCTTCATAAACTGTTGAAGAATTGCTCATTCTGACCACTTCTGCTAGAAACAAGTCTTCAACTTGCTCACGAACTGATGATTCTATCCACCTGATTTTAAAAAACGGATGGCTGATCGAAGCCACAACAAATGCTCTCATCTTGCTGTTGCTTGAAATATCTTTGAAGTCAATTATATCGCCAAAGCGTTTATCCATGCCACATTGAAGAGCAGAAACAAGAGCTGAAGTGTACGATGGAGTAAAAGATTGCAGTTTTCGCAGTATAACAAATATAGTTGGTAAGACAGCACCAAAATAAGACTCCATTGAAACCTCACCTTGGAGCTTGTCCAATGCTAGTGAAATTGGTCTCATCAGTTCCAACCACTCATTAAGAAAACTCAAATCTATATTGCTGAACTTCGGCAGCTGCAAACGTTCCATCACAACATTTACTTTATCGCGAAGACTACTATATATAGCGTGCATGTGTATATAGATCATGTAGAGTCTATGATATAGATATATAGATGTCAGAGTGATGTGAGTTAACCACCTTTTAATGACTCAATTAGCCAATGGTTATCTTAACATCCCGCTATCCATGACTAAACAAGAACAAATGTTGATAAGAGAGATAAACAAGAATGTCAATGTGAAAACGTGTGTGTGTGTTTTCATCACAGTTTTCAATTTTTAAATGTTGACATTATCTTATTTTTGCTTAAAATTTTTCTGGTACTTACAGGAAAAATTTATTACTTATAAGTACAAGTACTGAAAAATGTACTTAAGTATAAGCATTTAAGTACAGGTTTCCATATCCGCTTAAGTATAAGTATCTAAGTACTACATTTGTACTTAAGTACGTACTTAAGTACAAATGTACTTAAGTACAAATGTACTTAAGTACTCGTCATCACTGGTATCAAACCTATTTGTCATTCTGGTACCTAACTAGTGATGATTAAAACTGCCATGCGGCGATGACTATGATAATAACAATGATGTAAATAAATAATAAAAATAAATAATCATAATAATAATATAAGATTCGTAATTTAAATAATACAAAGCAGAAGAATTGTCTAAAATTTAAAATGATGAAGAAAGAGCAGAGGATTTCATGTGCGTACACACCACGTAGGTCGTCCGTCAGATATTTCCATATAATAACCATTGTACGTGTGTATATATGTATGTGTGTGTGTGTGTGTGTGTGTGTGTGTGTGTGTATACGTACATATATACATAAATATCACAAACAATACTGCATGAAGTAATACATGAATGAATTAAAGGATGAATGAATGAATGAATGAATGAATGAATTGGTAACTGAATAAAGACAGTGAATGAATTGATGAATGACTGACTGAATGAACAAATGAAAACGGTAAAAGAAAAAAAAATATTGTAATAAATTATTCTAGAAAATTAATTCAATATTAAACTTACAAATCGTTAAAATATTATTTTCGTCTGTCCGCTCTTAATATGAATTCAATTTTAAAGTGAATCAAGCAGAAAGTTATACGAAGAAAATAAACCAACCAACCAATTGATTAACTAATTAATTAATAATACTAATTAAACAAATGAATAAAATTTGAAATATTAAAATAAACTCTACTAATCAGCCAGCCAACCAACCAATCAGCAGCAAGACAAGCCTGCTTGCCCAAAATTCATAAAGAACTTGATATATTAAAATAGAGTATTTATGTATAATAAAAAAATGTAAGCATAAATATTTGTTGGTATAATATTATTTCTTCGTATAATAACCATTATAAATAAATAAAATTAAGAGTGTAAATAGTTTTACATAAAAAAATACTCTTGAACAGTAATTCTGAAGTTCAAAGATGGGCTTTTTAAATCGAATCATTTGTGTTAAGTAGAAAAAAGAGCAAATAAATTAAATAAAATTGCGCTAAATAAATTGATTAAAAATGCGCCATAAATGTCAAGCAATTTAAATTATTCCACAAAAATGAATTCGAAGAATTTACAACATCAAAAAATCGAAGGATAACAAAGCATAAAAATAACAAAGAATATAAACAAATATAATGAAATATAACAAAGAAAAAAACAAAAAGGAACAAAAGATTAATTTCTCCATCAGTGGGAAACAAAAAATTTCGTCATGCTGTTGTAAATCAAAGGAAGAAGAATCAAGTTTCTCTGTAAAAAACTTCCCTCATTATTATATATATTTCTCTCTCCCTCTCTCTCCCAAACAACGCCACAAGAAATCATGATAAGAAAAAAACTGAAGAAACCATCAAAAAATAGCATGACGTGCAAGCTGCAATACAAACCAACTCACGCATACTTAATAAATAAGGTACCACACTTAATGAATACCAGGTACCACCTAACATGCATGGTTATACGCACACACAATATATACACATGTAATTATATATACGTAAAACAAATAAATGTATACAATACCGTACACTATACAGTATTGTATTGTCTCCTTCCAGCAATACATACATTAAACATATGTGCATATAATGTACATATATAATACCATTATAATATTGTATCTATATATTTATATGTATATATATATTTATATATATGTATGACAGCACAGTATAAATTAATTACAACAGTTAACTGTAACAGTGAAAGGACGAACAGACTGTATAAAAGTATGCGTACAACAATTTTCGCCATTTAAAAGATTTATTCACGATAAAAATAAATAACACGCTCACAAGCACACACACAAACACTCACAAGCACACACATATACACACGCACGTACACACACATATACACACGCACGTACACACACACAAACAATTGTAAAACTCCGACTTCAAAGTTGCATTGTTGACTTAACATAAAGTGCCGAAAGCAAAAAGTTGAATATAAAACTAAAAGACAAAAATTGAAAACAACATAAAAAAGAATAACAAAAAATATTTTACTAAATTAAAACAAAGAACTAAAATAAACACATAATAAATGTCAGGTAAACAATAAATGCTTAAACAAAACAAAACAAAGATTTTATAAAATAAACAACAGCATGAAAACAGAGAAAAAAGCAAGAGTGCAAACAAACGAACGAACAAACAAACGAACGAACGTATAAACAATACTGTATAAAAATATACAAACACACACATAAAAGTATCCAAAAACATACGTACAAGCTGACACGAACACAAGATAAATTTTTCTAAACAAACGAACGAATCAACATTACTGTATAAAAACAAACAAACAAACAAGAATATAAAAACATACAATAAAACATACAAACAGCTACACTCATACAGAAGACAAATTCTGCAAAAATGATCAATTCAGAAGTGGCAGAAGAGAGCTTGTTCGTCGAGTTGGACGGGATGGAACATGGCGTCCATGTCGATCTCTGTGTACGAGTCAAAGTTGCCAACATCACCTTCGTACCGAATTTTCGGTAGAATTGGGGCCTGGTATGTAATATTATCCAATTATACCATCTCATTTTTATTGTAAGCAGCATAAAAGAGTTATTGTAATTCTGAATATTGTTATATTCATTACTAGGATAAAAGTTACTATTGGAATCGTCCTCATCAGAGTGCTGGAGAGAGTCAGTTAGAGATTTTTAGCTGGGTCAGAGATTTTTTAACCGACACACAATCATTTTTAATACTGAAAATAAATGCTTTTGAAGCGAATGAATACAATCAGATAATTTTCTATCAGTATGTTTTAAAACAGAAATAAAACAAAAATTAAAAAATTAAATTTTTTTTTCATTGAGAGAATTTCAAGTGTTTTTAAAGTGTCTATCATTTAGTAGCGACATTTTAGCAAAATTGTAAGGCAAAAGTTGAAAATGTAATCTGGGAGTCGAAACTCAGAGTAGGAGTCAAAGTCCAGTCGCAAACTACTACAGAGAGTAATTTTTTCAATCAAGGAGCTGGAAACTTTTTTATCCAACTATGAGAATCTGACGCTCATGGCATTACCACCACCATCGTCGTCGTCATCATCACACAGCCACCATCCTCACAATCATCAACCCCAGCAAACTAACAATGAACTTTTTATCGTACACATCCAGCCAGTTGATGCCACGGAACCAGCGATGGCACTTCACATCGTCTGCTCCATTCTGTTTGTAAAAAAATTATCAATAACTATATTCGATTGCACTTCCACTCACTCCCTTCAAACTCTGCCGCCACATGTTTATTTTTATGTAAATTTTTAGCCCTATGCGACTTTTTCAAATTTGTTTGCGTGTATCAAATTGGATTGAATGGCGTGATATCTTTTAAGTAGTTCCTTCATTTTTTGTGCGATTGTGTGGTGTGGAGCGCACCTTATAATAACATATTATTACAACTTTAAAATAATTAATAATAACAACAATCATAATAAATAATAATAAATAATTAAAATAATTAATATACCTTCATACTGCCAAATCTTTTGGACCTATCAGGAACAAGCAGCTTTCTTATCAGATCTCTGATTGGTTGTTATAAATGGAAAAAAAATCGTTGTTTATAATTGTGAGTTATAAATAAAAAACAATTCATATTATTATTTAGAGTTAAAAATAGAAATATAACACTACCAATCACAACAAACCAAACAACCAATCACAACACCCCATCCATCATGGTTAACCCTAATCAATCTAACCAATCAGAACCAACCAACCAATCAGAACCAACCAACCAATCAGAACCAACCAACCAATCAGAACCATCCAACCAATCAGAACCAACCAACCAATCAGAACCATCCAACCAATCAGAACTACCCATCCAGTAAATGACAATAAACTAACTTAACAACAGGATTAAACATCTTTGGCCACTCAACTTTTCCATCTAAAATCTTCTCGTAAATTCCAAATGGTGTCTCATCATAGAACGGTGGATAACTTAATCAACAAGCAATTATAATGACATTTAATTAGAATATTTAAGAGTAAAATATAATAATTATCATTTCCCATGCACGTATATAAATAAATAGTTTCCAACTTAACTTACCCAACCAGCATTTCAAAGAGGATGATTCCAAAGGCCCACCAATCGACTGCCTTGTTGTGCCCCTTGTTCAAAATTATTTCCGGAGCCAAATACTCGGGAGTGCCACATAAGGTCCATGTCCTGAAATTAGCAACAAGCAACAAGCAGCAGATTAGCAATTATGTATAGCCAAATATATACACGCATACAACATACATGCACACAAACAGCATACATACACACAAATTTATACACACATACAACATACGTACAAAGAAGTACATATACACTCAAACACACACAGTCAAACCTATCAATAAGTTTCTTTGCAAATCCAAAATCAGTGACTTTAAGATGGCCTTGTGAGTCGAGTAACAAATTTTCAGGCTTCAGATCTCTGTAAACGACATTTTGTAAGTGAAGGTACTCGAGGACGAGGACCAATTGCGATGCATAAAACTGGGTCGTTGAGTTACTAAAGTGACCCGCATTTCTCAGGTAGGAGAACAACTCACCGCCGGGGACGTACTCGAATAGGAGGTACAAGAAGGTCGGATCGTGGTTGGTCAGTAGGCTGAGTTGGTAGGTTAGGGAAAATGATGTGACGACTACGTTAAATATGACTATAAAAATTTTACTATAAATATGACTTATGATTAAAATTTGATGTCCTTGAAAAATTGCTTCAACAAATTAGAAAACTAAAATGTGATTCATAAGTTTGTCATCACCAACAACAATGAATGAGTCACTCACACATACACATTCCCACAATTCAAATACATGAAGTAGTGTAAAAATTATTCCAACTAATTAAAGGATGACTAATGTGATTAACTCTTTCAGCAGTTGTTACAATATCAACACTTAATCAAAACTGTATTCTATTGAACTAAATAACATTTGGTTAATAAAACCCCACCAACAAAGGAATAGAGTGACTAGAGAAAGAGAAATGACATGAAACAAAATAGAAACAGCAAAGAACTAACAGTTTGATAATAAAAGGATGTTCAACACTGAATAAAATTTCTTTTTCATTTTGCACATGATCAACTTGTTTCAGTCGAATTATTTCACTAATCGGCAGCACTTTCAGAGCTCGAAAACTTCGGGTCTGCATGTGCTGCACTAAATACACTCTGCCAAATGTCCCTGTGCCTTTTTGAAAAAATTTATATAATAAAAAAAAATAAATAATATTGAAAAAAATTAATTTGATCAAATTTATCTATTTATAAAATGCCATATGCATATAATATAATAGTGGGATAGTAACACAGGATTTTATGGGGCCTGATAAAAAATATTATGAATGAAACTTCACAATACAATACTGTCTCTTGATTGAAGTGAGACAAATTTTAGTAACAATTTGGATTGATAAGTAAATGAACATATGAGCTATTTTTGTAAATATGACTAACAAAATTCATCACAATAAAAAATTTACCACCCAACCAACCAATTAGCCAAATAACAAACCAACCAATTAACTAACTAACCAATTGTGTTGCGAAATTCATAATCTTCCAGATTTAAAGGCTGTCGATAAACATCAGCTATATGATGATGATGTTGCTCCTTTAATTGCAAAGAAGTATGATTTGAAATGTGACCATCTTCCTCTTCGTCGTCCCTCCCTAAATTCAAAGTCTGCAACTTCTCCCAAACAGGTTGGAACTCGTCAATGTAGTTGTTGTCATCTTCATCATCGTTCTCGCCATCATTTCCTATCATCCCGTTTATTTTTATGTGCTCTAACAACTCACAGGATGCCATAGCATTGAGATTAGATTAGTTAGATTTTGTTTGATGAAATCAACTCGATGGATGTCAGCAGATGAATAATTTAATGATTTAATGTTAATATAACTTAGAAAACCCTATAATAAAATCAGTACCCAATCCGACTTAACTGAACTCAACTGAAGATTGAACTTTTAACTCCCATCCGCAACGACCGACCTATATATTATGCGCACGGAGAGATCGTGAGGAAAGAGAGATGGATTGTTGTTGGTGTTGTGTTGAAAAAAAAGACAAAACTACACAATACAAATAAACTAGAACGTAAGAATGGAAGAATAGAGACCCTAACTTATCTATGTTCACTAAATTAAATCACATAGCTCAGCTTACGAATTAATATTAAGCTTACCTATTTGTACGATTACGAAGAAAAAATTAAGGAAAGAGGATAAAACATCAAGCAAACAATATACGAATGTATGTATGTATGTATGTATGTATGTATGTATGTATGTATGTATATCTATATATGTATGTATGTATGTATTTGCAAACTCATATATAACAGCGCAATAATAATATCGGTAAAATAAACGAATACGACTAAAAAAAATAACATGACTAAAATAAGATACAACTATCGCAAAATTGTACTTATTTTTAAATTACAGAATAAATTTTTATATTTTTATATTTTTTATAAGTTACAACCAGTACACAATGTGATTAAAAGTGTTTTCTAACAGATGATTAAAAAAATTTCAGGTCGTCATCATTTCACGTATTTTATTGTAAATTTAAAATTGCTAGGTCAATCAAATGAGTTATATTGTTAGTTATTTTTGTGTTTATATATCAGTACAACAATCATTTAACATGTGTATTTTTGAGTGTGTGCGTCAGTGTGGAATGTGTGGTTATGTGTGTGTGTGTGTGTGTGCATGATATGTTTATTTTTATGAACTTTTAATGCAGTCAAAAATATTATATAATGATGGATGTAATCTTTACTATTATTATGTCCCCAAATGTTTTTATGAAAGTGTCTAAGCAAAGCAATGGTCTCAATATTCAAATTGTTTTATTTTATCTAGTTTTAATGTTAATTATATCTTGATTAATTTGTTATAAAGCTATAATTGTAAAATCTTCATATCAAATGGTGAGTTTTTTATGTTTGTGAAATATTCGCAGTCATGCTGTTCTCATCATTCTCATGACCATAATATTTAAGCAAAATTCTTCCCTTCATAGCTTAACTGACGTTTAAATATTTGGTCGTCGATGTCTATATGGTTAGATACACCATTTTTATTTTTATTTTGTAGTCGTTTTGTCGCCGCAAAATGTGAAATTTTTTAATTTGAAAAAAATGAGATTTTAATTTGATTCTACGAATTTTATTGCGAAATTCGTTCTTCATAACCTTACGATGTTTCTCGCTGAAAATCACTTGACATCTTGGCTTGCTCTATCCAGCATTTTTTTTATTTATGGTCCCAACTAGCAATTGTGGGTATTATAGTATTGTATGTTTGTATCTTTATTTTATGGGTATGATGTTTTGTTTGAAATTTAAATTAATAATGTAGGTAGACTTTTTAAATTATCATGTTATTATGGCACCGTTTAATTTTTAATAAGAATAAATAAGGCGCCAAGGCAATTAATTAATAAGCTAACTAACTGCTAAAGAAAACTAAAAGACATTTTCTTTTTTATTTTTAGATTTAGTTCTCTAGCTTAACGAAACTTCTAGAGTTTTTTTTACAAATTATTCTTTAATTTTAAATTTTAAAGAATATGATTTTAAAGGTTAACCGTAAAAGCCAGGAATATAAATCAATCAAATTTTCATCAAACCAATAAATATTTAAAGCAAACATCTACAATTAATAATTTAATTATCAATGTGTTTGTTAACAACAGTACAGTTGATTCACTCATCATACATAATAATAAATAGAAGTTCATTTTAAGATTGTTTAGTTAGTTGAAATTCGAAATTGTCTGTAATAGTTATAATAAATTTTAAACTGTTTTTTTTACATGATCAAAACATTTTTCAGGTTAGAAACAATTATATTATGTTATGAAAGGAAAAAACTCATGTGATAGAAGTCAGGAAGTATGTCACAATGCAACAACAGTAATAATGAGACATCTGAGAGTGAATTCTATTGTGAAATTTGCTTCAATAGGTTTTGTTTAAGTAAATGGACAAGCCATTTAGAGACCCACAAGTCTCTACCAGTTGCTGTCTGTGATAGATGTCACTCCATATTCATAAACCCCGACACGTTGGAGCAACACGAGTGCATAGATAAGGAACAACAACTTACAGCTGACATGAGTCAGCTGAGATACGGTTGCTCCTATTGCGAGTTAGCATTCCCAGATGAAAGTTTGATAGCTCAGCACGAGAAATATCATCAGTACGAGTTGTTTTGCAAGTGTTTGATATGTGATGATATGTTTGACACTGATGAGTTGTTGACCAACCACTTGCTCGAGTGTCACAACAAGTTTCCATATGTTTGTTCCATCTGTATGAGCTCGTTTTCATCACCGGAGTGTTTGAATGTTCACATCAAAGATGTTCATCTGGATAATTATGAAGCCAACAACAACATCACTTCAAATGATTATGAAAACATTTTAAACAAGTCAATGAAGACTTTAGACAATGGAACGAACCAGGCAGCAGTTGATCGACCTTATAGATGCAACATTTGCGATCATTCATTCAGGAGGAAGGACACCTTGTTCAGCCACATGACGAAACTCCACTCAATCAATGACCACCTCGCCTGCAAGACGTGCAACCTTATCTTTCAGACGTCTGAAAGTTTGCAACATCATCTCATCACAAACAAGTGCATGGATGTTGATATCAAGTTGGATTCAGAGCAAGAAAATGAAGAGTATCCCATTGTTTTGGAGTGCCAACCATGTGATAAAATATTTCACAGCATTGAAGAGTGGAACCAGCATAAAATTATTCACAAGACGGTTGAATGTTTCAGTTGTCATGTATGCTGCAACAAGTTCAGGTCAGCAGCCGGCCTTCAACTGCACATCAGGATGGCCCACGAACTCACACCTCTGTCGGATGGTGGTGCTCCCAGTGCTGATTCTTCATTCACATGTTCCATGTGTGGGAAGGTCTTCTCAAAAAAGTCCAAACTGACGGCTCACGAGAAGACTCACACAAATGAGAAGCAGTTCAAATGTGAGTTGTGCAACAATGTATACAGCAGCAAGACGAACATGATGCAACATTACAAAGTGAGGCACTCGGGTGTCCGACCGTACGTGTGCTCGGTCTGTGGCAAATCATTCGCACTGAGTGTCTACTTCAGAGATCACATGCAGGGTCACTTGGGAGCGAAAACTCATGAATGCGAGATCTGTCACAAGAGATTCAGAAAGAAATCTTACATGAAAGTTCACGAACGCACGCACACAGGAGCGCAACCTTACTTGTGCAACATCTGCAACAGACCTTTTGCTCAGAAGGCAAACTTGCTTAAGCATGCCCAGCTGCACACAGACAAACGCTCGCACAACTGCAGCATATGCAAGAAAGGATTTACAGACAGCCAGGCCCTGAAGAGGCACATGAACACACACACAGGCAATCGTCCTTATGTCTGTTCAACTTGTGGTCAGAGTTATGGCACGAAGGGCTCACTTAATGTGCACATGAAGTTCCATGAAGAGGTCAAACAACACACCTGTTCTGTCTGCTTGAAAGGTTTCTATTTAAAGTCGCACCTCAAACGACATCTCATGACTCACGTTAAAGATAAGAACAACTCAAGAGTTAATGCGAACAACAAGCTTTCATCTAAATTAAAATTTGTTCATAATGGTGTTGACGACGTCACAACTTCACCTGCCAAGATTAAGGTTGAAGAACTGGAAGAAGCCCTGGAATCAGTTTCGGATAGCAAGCTGATCATCGATGAAGAGAATGTGATGATTGATAACATTGAGCTTGTGTGCATGGAAGAAGTTGTGCTGGTTTGATTGATATGCCATCACATAAATAAAAATTATATATATACATTCGTATTTGACTTTATGTTCATATTTTGTTCAAGTTCAATTATTATTTGCAAATCAAGGTTTTAAAATGTAGTTATTCATTGAATTATTATTTTTTTATGAACTAAAATATTGAAAACAACTGCATTCAAATGCGTTTGTTGGGTCAAAAAATTTTATTCCTAAATTATTTTTAATACTTGCATGCAAGCAAGCAAACGAGGACACAAACGAAAGCGACATGGCTGAGTGTTAAACGTTCTAGCTAAGAAATTGTAGTACGTAATCATCCAATGTCAATATTTTATTACTTTAAAATGATGAGAAATAGCATTTTGAAGCAATGGAAATATCCAATAGAAGTCACTTAAAATATGTTCAGTCGCACAAATTTACATGGGAAACTTTAAATTTTAAGATGCTAACTAATGTTCACACAGTAATAAACAATATTAATGCAAGAATTTTGTTGAAGGTAGATAGATGATACACATAAAACGAGTGAATGAGGAAAATGACGCATTTAGACTCGTACTGAATGAACTTGCGACTTTAATGCCAATGACAACAACGATATGCACAATTCTGCGATATATAGGTCAGAAATATACATCAACATTTGATACACCAAGTTCGTCCTTACCTAATATGACAAACAACTAAACTGCTTGTTGTTTGATTATGATTTTGCAATTTCAATCCTTCATCGTTTACTACGGATTGCCAAAAGCTTGATACACGAATATGTATGAATACATATACATTGCACCACATGCAAGCGTTTGTCATTTACACACATACACACACACACACATATATATATATATATGTTGGTAATAGACCATAATTTTTACAATATTTATAGAGAGAGAGAGAGAGAGAATAACGTAATGCTATATAATGTTAATAGAATAATGTTATATTCTAGATATGTGTGCAAACAATATATGTATACACAGACACGCAGAGATACATAAAGCATCAGAATTGACACCACAGATAACAAACAGAAGTTTTATTCAGATTTTAAGTCATAGTATACTAAAGTTGCATAACCAACAATAACGACGTCACGCATACATTACTATACAATATTGATTATGAAATAATTGATAAATAATGAAACGATAACAAAGTATAATATTAATTAGACTGGACAAGAATGAAACGTTAAATAGCATTTGATGGCATCTGAATGAATGGGTTGTCTGGCTGGTCATCATACATTGCCCCCACACAACTTTGCACCAAGTTATACGACTCGAAAACTTAACTATCAATCGATCTTACTTTGAATGAAATTAATGTCTTATAATTATTAAAAATACTGATGCTATCATGTTATAAGCATCAGTGGTAATAGTACACTATCTTTATCATGAAATCATATTGTCCGTCATCATCATCATCAATGTCATCATTATCATCATCATCAATGTCATCATTATCATCATCATCATTGTTACAACATCTTGAAGAATGTGGACCTGTAAAATCTCAACTCTGCAATGCTTTCCAGAATGTCATCCATAGCTCTGTTCAAACAATTATGCTGATTATTAAGCGTGTTTGTTTGCTTGTTTGTTTGTATGTTTGTTTGTTTGCTTATTTGTATGCAAGCATGTATGTTTGTATTTTTGTTTGTATGCATTTATGTATAAAACTGACCTATGAACCATCTTTTTAACAGGGGCCAAATCACTGTGGTCTGGATACCAACGACTATAAAACGAAATAAATATAAAACCTATACAGACAAATAAATAATTACAAGCATAGAAACACAAAAACACACCCACATACAAATGTATATATATATATATATATAAATAATGGAAGTAAGCTAACAAGCTAACAATTTTTTTAAATTCATGCAACTAAACCAACCTGGCCAATTCTTTGATAGTGCTAACATCAACAATCCTATAATGAAAGTGTGATGAAAACTGTGGCATATACTTTTCTAGAAACTTCTTGTCGACGTGAATGCTGTTTCCTGCTAACGGGCACATCCCTGGTGGGGTATGCTGTCTAACAAATGACAGCAACTCCATCTCCGCCTGTTTCACGGATATTCTACTATTCCTTACCTGCTCCATTAGCCCAGACTTTTTTGGGTGTTTGGAAGTGATAATATTTTATATTTTTTTAATGTTATATATTTGAAGAAAATAAAATAGACATTGTAAGAATAAAAAACAATAGTCCCTAATTAGTGAAAAAGCTTCATCCCCTGATTTGTAACAATAAGGACAATAATTATTGATCACCTCGCTATGGTGTTTCAGACACCA